TGCAATTATCTACCGGAAGGTACCAGCCCATACTCTTGATCTTCTCTCCCTTCCAGCAGGTGTGGAGAAGAGTATTGCAGCTAACAACTTGGATACCGAGCACGTGGAGGTATTCAAGCAAGTGCAACAATTCATCACTATTGCCACTGAAAAATATAAAGCTGCAGTTGATAAACATCAACGTTATAAAACTTTTACCATGGGTGATTGGATTATGGTGTATCTTCGCAAGGAGCGTGGCGGAGGACAGAAGAAACTTGATTAAAAAAAGATTGGACCATTTCAAGTAATTAAGAAGATCAATGATAATGTCTATGTGTTTGACCTACCCGAAGACATGAATATTTCCAGGACCTTCAATGTTGCTAATTTATTCCCTTTCTACCTCGATGATGATCACTTGAGGTCGAGTTCTTTTAAAGTGGGGAGGATTGATGCGAAGCAACTTGTACTTCAATATATGGATGATTTGGATCGCTTTAAATCAAAGAAGAAAGGGCCCGGCCGTGCCATATCCTGCACACCCGTGCCAGCCTCTAAAAGTCGAGGACACGAGACATGCCCAAGTCTAAGAAGCACAAGCATGCCCGTGCAAGCCTCTAGAAGTCCAAGCATGCTCATGCCGAAGCTGACGAGTCTAGTACCGTTTCGAGTGCCGACACGCCCGTGTCATACCAAGCACGCCCGTGCTAGCCCTTGGAAGTCCAAGCATGCTCGTGTCATGCCAAGCACACCCGTACCGCCAACCTTGCTAGGGTTTTGTATGGCTTCGACTTTTGTGCTATTTTTAGGGTTTTTTATATTTTAGCCTAAACATATAAATAAGTTATTTTGCTATTTTGGAGGACAATTATTCTTTGATCATTATTTATATTCAATAAACTCCTTTGAGGGTTTAGTTTACAAACTCTTTCGTCAGATCAAATGACATTGATCAAAACTCCTGACAGAATATAATCGTTATTCTCATTCACGTAGCCATTTTGCGTCAGTAATCTCTATTTACCAAACCCCTTAAATATGATTTTTGAGTTATCTCTTATACTTAAAATTACAACCACAATGAAAAGCCAACATTTACCATAGGTTTTCTCATGAGTTCTCTAGTCACCTTTCATAACTAAGAATTTTTCACATTTCTACAGAGGATTTTAGCCCGTGGTTCTCTTATAATGTGTTTGCAATGATCTAAAATCTTTTAGAGGTATATCCATTATTGAATTATATTATGAAGTCAACTATGCTTGTTCATGCAGGACATAGGATGCGTTAGCTTTATACTCACGAGCTTATAAAAGGAAAACATAAAACAAAATACTTTTTTTTTTTTCTTTTCCTCTTTATTTCGTTACTTTATAATCAAAATATAGAAAAAGAAATTATAAGTAAAACAAATTGTATTCTTTTTCTGAATGATTAATGAATGTTTCATTAATTTTGTATTTGATTTTATATTGTGCAATTTTATGCTGAAAAAATTGTACTTTTGTATTATTTATTAAAGTTATTTTCTCATATCATCGCACCAATCAATTGTATTCTTTGATTTTGTGTTATTTATTAATGATTTTACATTATTAATTCCATTAACTAAAAATTATATAATTTTGTATTATTTAATTTTCCTTTTTATTTTATATTATAAAAACCTAATACATGCACATAACTGCACACTAAAATATAGCCTAATGATAAGTGTATATACGACTCAACAATAGATCCGGATTAGAATCTCCCTATATTTAAAAAAAAAATCATAATACTTATAGAAAATAAATTTTTATTTTATATTATGTAATTTTTTAAATGTTCTTAATGTTATATCATAAAAAATAAAAATAAAAAATTATTTATAAAAAAAAAGTAAAATCGCGAAACATGCAATAAAATTACTTTTGTTTTTAAGCAAAAATAGCTATCCAACGATGGAGGATGGAGTAATCAACCCATGTTGAAATGCTGAGACAGGGACAGTGTTGTTCAAATCAAATTTATTTACGCTACCCATCAATGATGGATAGGAGTACGACGACCCGTTTGGATTTGGATAGACATGGCAATTTGATTTTTGATTGTAATATTCTATTAACATACAATTTAATCAGACTTTTGCCGCTGTGGGATATGACATTTATTTACTATTTTTTTACCACCACGCTTTTGGTATTTAAAACTTATAAAAGGCTATAAATTAAAGAGCAATACTCGAAGACAATGTCACACTGTCAAGGTTCTCTGCTCCATGAGGTACACAGACGAGTTCGCTGAGAGCACCAGCAAATAATAGCTGACCCGTTGCTCGTTGAGTTGTTTGATCCATCTGTAAGGTTCCCACTTAGCTCCATCGCCATCGTTGTTGCAGCAATTACAGAGGAGAAATAGAAGTTAGGTTTAGGGATTTCAGGTTTGGGTTTTTGCTTGAACGGATCCGTTAAAGGGAAGGGGACTGTTTTCTTAGGTGGAAACGGCGTCGTTTTTGAGGTGGATTATGGGTTTGTTAGTTTAACCATTACGTCAGTCTCTGAAATCCCACAGGTTTGTTTAGTATTTTTTTAAACCCTGATTTCAAATTAGGGTTCAATTAATAATGACATTTGAAATTAGAGTGTACAGGGAATTAAAGATCAAAATGGATGTGCATTTGAAATACAACGCAAATGTCAAGATTTTAATTAAATTACTCACTTATAATATATTATAGGGTATATTTATCATTTCGAAAGTCCCATTTAATTAATACAATTTAATTTATGAAGAATTTAATATATCAGCCAAATACAATTATATTAAATTTTTTGAGAAACAAGTTATTTAGAATTTTAATTCGTAGGAAGTAAAGTTGAAATGAATCAAAGGAGGCCTACGATGGATTATAAACTCTAATTAAAATAAGACATCGTGCCTCTAAACCACAACAGATTTAAAAAGTCCTTCAGATCTCTCACATCTCGCTCTCTTTTCCTCCTGCAAAAGACGACCTCCACAACTAGTTTTCCAATCGTTGTTGCTTCAACTGTCCAGCCTGCGTAGAATTTTCACAGTCAAATCTGATAGTCACATGCTTCTCTCTTTTTTCTCTTTCTCCTGGCCATCTCCACGGTCGCCATTTTTGTAATTTGCTCAATAACCATCAATGTTTCTGATTGATTTAACCACAATCAAGTATCTGTTGTGATCTGGTGAAGGTGAAATCACAATCCATATAATTGTTTTTGCTCTTAATTAATATTTTTTGAGCTATTACTTTAAATACCGCAAGTAAAATACAAGTACATGCATAATAATAATTATTATTATTATTATCAAAGAAACATGTATTTAGTTAATGGTCTTCTCTTTTATTTGAGGAGTGAGTAGTCTTACGTTCGAGTAATCTTCATTATAAGTGTTTAATTTTTACCAATTTTGTTTAGGGAAGAACTACCCTGTTGTGTAGCTCGAGTCTCCCAATTAATAAATAAAAAAGGAAATCGTAATAAATATCACTTTTTGAAATTTATTTTTACAGAATGTCAGTTTGACTTTAAAATTTAAATTATTGTCATTTGTGATATATTTTTACTATTGTGTCTTTTTTTTATTGGTAGGACATTAATTTATTAATATTTCAGTATTTTAATATGTTAATGTTTCATTTTATATTAATTTCCTATTTTATTGTTTTAATATGTTAGTATTTCCTTTGGTATTAATTTTCTATTTTCAACATTCTTTCCTTTTTTTTAATATGTTAATAATATTTTTTACTGCAATTTTTTCAGCCCTTATTATTTTCTTAAGGTTCTTCCCCCTTTTGTTGCCTTCATTATTTTCTTATCGTTTTTTCTCCTTTTGCTGTCATTTTTTTCATTATTGGTGTTGTTTCGTTTTTATTCATAAGGTATGTTAATTTCTATTTTTGATTTATTATTAAAAATATCTCTATCAATTTTTTATACAATCAGTAATTACAGTAGAAATACGATAAGACTAATGATTCTGTTCGGATTGATACGATACAATATATATATATACACTGTACTTACTTGGTTTGATGCACCATATTCACTTAGTTTGATCCAATGTGTTAATTGATGTACATATATCTATTCTGTATTTAATTGATTTTATAGTATTTACTTTTTTCCGGTGTTTCCTTTTTTTCGGTGTTTCTTTTTTTTTTTCTAGTATTTCCATTTTTCAAAGTTTCCTTTTTCTATGTGTTTCCTTTTTTTCAATGTTTTCTTTTTCTCAGTGTTTCTTTTTTCTCAGTGTTTCCTTTTTTTATTGTTTCAAGCATTTCATTTTTTTCGGTGTTTCTTATTTCTCTTGTAAGGTCAATTTTGGTACTATTAAATTTTTTTGACCGAATATATTATTATCTTAATGAGTATTCTTTTAGGATATTTAGTTAAAAAGTACGAACTTTGAATCTGAAATTCCCTTAAAAGTAAAAAAAAAAAAAAAAAAAAAAAAAAATTAAAAGTAAAAAAAATAAAAAAAAAATATAAAAAAAAACATGTATTAAGATATTTATAGTTTTTGTTTGAGAATAAAAAAATTCATGGAATGAGTTTTAGCAGCTGCTTCATTATTTTATATGAGGCCCATTAGAGTGGCTTTGGGATCCAAGATTCTTTGAAAGAGAATCATGAATGTAAATTTCTGGGCGCGCGTCTGCATAAAAACTTCCTAGTTTAAGGTTTTTTTTTTTTTTTTTTTTGACATTACTTCCTTAGTATAAGTTGATTCCTTAAATCCTATACAGGAACTAGCGAATATTAGGGTTTCCGAATTTACCCATATGAATTAGCCAAAGGTAAAGCTATCCAACATTACAAACATACAGTCTAACGGTGCGTCTCTGTTGTTTTTCCACAACCATGAACTATTACCATCACGCGACTATCAACTTGACCTGCGACTCACACAATCTCTCACGACGTCAAACTTTTTTTTTTTTTTTTTTTTTTTTTTTGACATTACTTCCTAGTTAAGTTGATTCCTAATCCTATACAGGAACAGGAATATAGGTTTCCGAATTTACCCATATGAATAGCCAAAGGTAAAGCTATCCAACATACAAACAAACAGTCTCCGGTGGTCTCTTTGTTTTTCACAACCATGACTATTACCATCACGGACTATCAACTGACCTGCGACTCACACAATCTCTACGACGTCAACTTCTACGGCAACCAGATCCACACTCTTCTCACCCACTCTGCTTATCATGTCGATCAATGGCTCACCGAAACTCAACAACTAATTAACCATAACCACTCTCTCCACCCTACCGTCGTCGGCCTGGACGTGGAGTGGCGCCCTAATTTCGGCCGCAACTTCGATAATCCAATCGCCACTCTACAACTTTGCATTGGCCGCAGATGCCTTATCTATCAGATACTGCATTCCCCGAGTGTCCCTCAATCTCTTGTGGACTTCCTTCAAGGCGGGAATTTTGTTTTTGTTGGGGTTGGTATTAGGAGTGATACTGAAAAACTGCTTGAGGATTATGGATTGAATGTGGGAAATCAAGTCGACTTGAGGGGTTTGGCGGCGCAGAGGTTAGGGTTGACGGAGCTGAGGGGTGCCAGTTTGAAAGTATTGGCTAGGCGAGTCCTTGGACTGGAGATTGAGAAGCCCAGAAGGGTCAAATTGAGTAGGTGGGACCATATGTGGCTTACTCCTGTGCAGGTTCAATATGCTTGCATCGATGCCTTTGTGTCCTCCGAAATTGGCGTGATGTTGAATGCTTCTTGAATTCTGAGGCTTTAAAGGACAGTGTTTTAGGATTATTATGTCTCTCGTTTTAAAAAAAGTTTTAATTTTGTGGTGATCCTACCTAACTTAGGTATTTTAAGAATGTGTTTCTTTTCAAGTTATGCAATTTTCGTTATTATGTTATCTTAGGAACTTGGTTCTTATGGAATTGATGTTTAGCTTATTTGCAATGCAATATACTTTGTTGGGATGATAATATCGGAGGCAATTTTACATACCAGTATACTATATTTCAAATAGCAATTTTCTTGGCAAGTAGTTACTCGCTTGCCAATGCTGTCTAGAAATTCAGACTACTTGGATCCGTTTAATTTATGGACTCTGGCATGATAATGGATGCCATCAGGTTTATCTGCATTATATTACAGGCACTCAGCTCGCCTTTTCTTCGTTGACAGAGTTCCACTAGGAACTTGGGATCCTGGGGATATGTCAATTTCATATGCCTAGTATAAACTTGTTAGTACTGCACAAGAACATGAACATGAAAATCTGTCTATTTTATTACTAATGGTTGGTCAATGATAAACTCGCTCCAAACCATCCTTTTCTGGATGATGATTAAGCATTGACTATCCAGGATAAATAATGATTTTGATCTATATTTGTAATGATTCTGTTTTGAGATTACTCCCTCAGCACCCAGGCGAGCAAGGTTGTGTTTTGGCAGTTTAAGGTAACATTACTATGGCATATTTTCTACTATGTCTTATAGGTTTGCATACGGTGCCGATATTGGGTCTGAATCTGGTTTTTCTTAACAACAATGGTTTTGTGAAAGTATGTATGCTAAATCTTTAATGGTAGGGAGACTGGAATCACGCAGGATAAGAAGTTTATATATGAACATAAGACAAGGGCAGAAAAGATCAGTTTTGGCTTATTATTGCGGTTGTATTATATAACATGTGTAGCTGCATTTTGTTTGGTAATAGCGTTTTGTGTTGATTCTCAAAAAGTTGTTCCACATTCTCATTTCTTTGCTCCTCTACAGATATACCATATTCCATTGACAAAATGGCTTACACTACTGGATTATGATTCCTCTGTCTGCTCTAGAGGATATTTTGTATGATAATATAATAATAGTGTTTAATTCAGTTTTCCAGTTAAAACTAAATGATGCTCACCCCTAACATGACTTAAATAGACGGAAATAGATGTGTTCTCAAGATCGATTTTGTTGAGATTCCCTTGATTCTACAAACTTATGGTTATTGGTCTTAATTTTGTTAAGATTCCTTTTGATTTGAATCGATGCTGGAGATGCTTTTGATTTTGAAAGCTACCTGTGCAATTTGGGGGAGACGGTGCCAAATGAAATTTTTCAAAAGGGGACCAAAGTGAGGACCAATAGAAAAAAATTCTGGAGTTTGGGGTTCCTGCACGACAATCTCGCCCGTGATCTCTCTTTCTCTGCTACTATCTCATAGCGCAGAAGTGTAATGCCAAGTAATGAACTACGCAATTCCAAAGAAAATGAATTCTTTCTGCATTTGCTTTCCAAGGTGACCTCTTGGACACTATATTAGTGTTAAGTGTTGTACGTCACATGTTTGATGAAATTGAAACCTGTAAGACCTCCAAAGAAAAAGGAGAAAGTTGATTTCTTCTTTGAGTGATTTTCTGGTCTTTATTTTTCCACAGCTTTTAACTTCCAAACAAAGCAAAGAACAAAAGTTGCTGTAATCAGCTCTCTCTTTGGTAAGGCCCAGTTGAGTTTTCCATTACAGGACACAACTATTTGACTGGTGTTGACACTGGCGCTAACAGTTGGCCCATATGAATTTGCTTTGGACCACCAGCTCTGTGGGCTTCGTTATTGAACTGCCCAGTTGGTATTATCAATTTTAGATATTTTCTATTTGTTGATAATATTTTTGTCTTTGTATTTTATACCTAGAAAAATATTGTTAGGATAGATATGTTCAAAAGTCATACCATGATGATGATAGATATAAATTGCATCCTATTTCAGAGCAAATATACATGATGCTAAGTTCTATTGTAAGCCAAATAAAAAAAACATCGTTGATTTTCAAATGAAATTGAAGGGAATTAAGCACAGTTTTATATCAGTTACTGATTCAATTTATTTAGGTTAATGAGGCAGTGAAAATATTTAGTGCACCAGGCACTCACAATCAGGCAGGTTTCACCTGAAATTGTGGAAAGCGAGTTGTATGAAATTTTAGAGGATGCATACATATATATACTAGGTACATAATAAATAATGAATCTTTCAGTGTAGTAGCTGCATTATACTTCAATGGTATTTCTTTGCTTCCATAGAACACAAACGCACTTTCTACAGAATACCAGGACAGATATATATATATAAAGAAAAGTTTCAAATATTCAAGTTATGCTAGATGTACAAAAACACACCACTATATATTGTTTAATTATAACTTCAAGCCATAACTTGAAGAACATAAAAGCATATATAAAATGTAGTGAGAAACCAAATATATGAGTAGTTTGTCTTAAAAGCAATGCACGCATACTGTCTATTAATTCCACTACACTTGTACTCAAGAAACCCGTCTCTGAGAGTCTTATTATTCTGCAAAAGACAAAAGAAAAAGTTGTAAGGATGTGGTAAACATGTAGACATACATTGAATACTTCAGTTTATGAGGTAGCAGGAAAGAAAGATGATGCATATTTTTGTTAATATACCTTGCTACTTGCTTAAAGCTCTAAATGCTAGAACCTTGAAGGTTGGGCTGAGCAAGCTGCAGATGGTATGAATGGATTTGAGAATGAATGGTTCCAAGCTGAAGGACACTACTCGGTTCTCCACAAAATGGGAATTGATCAAGAACTTGTTGATGCTCCACTGGCTTTGCTTCCAGTGTCGCGTGCTGATACTCCATTGCCACGCGATGATCCTGGATCTGATTTAAAACAATCTTACGTATAATTAATCTTCAGATAAATCAAATTTATATTATTGCATTTGGTAAAGCTTAAAAAATCCATATATAACAACTTAAATAAGCTCAAGACATCACATTACATAACAAGAACGTTTCTTATAAAATAAAATAACACGATATGAAATAATTTGGTATGAATTGGATGGGATCCTTACCCAACGGTACATATTGCCATTTTCCTCCTCCAACATTCGCTCCTTATAACATTTAAAGAGAGAGGTAGAATTAGGTTATGCATTGAACTAAGAAATGTGCAGCAAAATTTAGTTTTTGAGCTTTAGAAGGAAGAGAGAGCTTCACCTTCCTGTGCAGATTATCCAGTTGCTGCTGCAAGAGCTCATTCTGTATGCATGACAAAGTCAAAGAACCAAAAGAAGAACTCAGAAAGAGAAATACTATGCATAGCAATGCATGTGTATATTCCAAGAAGGTATCTTCACACAACAATGCATGTTTTTTTTTTTTTTTCTCTTCTTGCAATTTTCTTCTTGTTCATAATACAAAGCATGAAGTTCTTTAACGTTGCATTCTTAATCTCTAATGTCAGCAACAACAACTAAATCAAAAAATTTCCAAGTAGAAAGAGCCTTATTGTAGATTTTTGGGAACTTGATACTCCACTGAACAAGCAGAAAAAAGTTGATATAGAGTTTTGGGAACTAAATGAAACTTCCCATGAATATCACAAGCTCTAGTAGACGTATGTAAGCCAATGATTTACAAGAAAAAAAGAACGAAGAAAACTTACCTTCCGGTTGCGGACCTTGGCAACAGAGCGTTCTAGTTCTTGTTCGAGTTCATCTAAATCATCAAAAGGAATGGAACTCATGTCCTCACCCATGTAACGCTTCATATTTAATTGAAGACTGAGAGTTTCTTTCCTAAGCATTGTCAACTCACCGAACAGTTGTTCCTACAAATTAACAATTGGAAAAGGATCAAATTGCAAAACATTGGTTAATTTTTACACACATATTGTCTAATTAAAGTGTTTTAAATAAATACTCTGCTATCATGCTCAGGAATACTGGTCCCTTTAACCTTTTGATATCTTTCTATTATTTGCTGCATCCTGTAACAGTATAGCACACACTCAGACATGAAGACAGAAGTTAATGTACATGGACAAGAACAAATAAGGAAAATATTTAATAATTATGTGATGAGTAAATTTTAAGTAAATTTTTTTTGTTTCCATGTACTTGGAAATAATCATGCATTGCACACATTTTTTTACTTCTAATCTGTTCAGATCATTCGCTGAAGTTCAAACCTAGGTCAAACTCTTAACTATAGTAACTTGATCACACTTATCATTGGTCAATACAGTTTGGCCTGAACTTATAATTATTAATATATTTATAAAGGGAAATGTTCATTTGGATCAAAGGATAGTCAAATAAAAACTAAAAAACTTGGTTCCTGAAATACAATTTAAAAACCAAAATGAACAATCTCATTAAGGGACTACTGCAGTATGCACTTATTCTGTTTTTAGTTAAATACGTAGTTGAAATTATATATGCTTGACATTTCTGTGTATGTATACACACACACATGTTTAGAGAAAAGTTATATCACTTCCTAGGGTTTGTTTGGATTACATTAAAGTTGGAAAGGATTGAAAATAAATATTTGAGGTCAAAGAATTTTTGTTCCAAGTTTAATTCTGAATGCAAAATATATTTGTTAATAGGAATAAGAGTTTAACTTATAGAAATCTTGATCTTTGAATTGCTTATAAATGAAACTGAAGGATGAAGTCTTGTTACTCAAATTTCATTCCACAAACATGGCCTTAGAGTTATAATCAAGACAAAGTCGTGATCATGATCATATCAAATCACACAAGTTCACTTTACAGTAGAGATCTTGAGATATTAAAATCAGAAATAAAAGGTAAAGGAAAAAATGGGAAAAAAAAAAAGGAGAGAGAAAGAAAAAGGTAAAATCTTTGTGAAACAATCTTTCCATGAAAAAAGAGAGAACGGAACTATGACTGGAAACCCTAACTTGCCAGAAACATGCAATAAAGAAAGTGAATCCGCTTAAGATATATATATATATATATATCAATTGAATTTCTAATAAGCAAAAATCAGAGACCAACAACAGATCCATATCAGAAAGAACATGAAGAACAAAAATAAGGTAGAGAAATGGTAAAATATGGATCAACCTGTAAGGTTCAGTGCAGTACTGGCAGAGTTTTCCAGTGCTAGAAAAGATGATGAGGCCTATTTGAGCATCACAAAGCACTGAAAGTTCATGAGTCTTCTTCAAAAGACCAGCTCTGCGCTTGGAGAAGGTGACTTGCCTTGTTGTCTGGTTTTCAATTCTCTTAATTGGTATTTTTCCACGACCCATGATTTTGATCCCAACAAGCTTTTTTAGCCCTAGCCTTTAGCGTTTCAGGAAAGATGTCAAGATATATATAAAGCTAATTCCTAATGTATATATAAAGATATAAAGTTCAGACAAGGGAGTAGAAGACACAAAGAAATGAGAAATGGAAACTAATGAGCTTCTGAAACCTGGAAAATTATAATCTTTTGGTGCAATTATAAGAGAGAGAAGAGATAAAACTTTCTATACCTATTACTATCTTTAACCCTCTGCTTGTACAATTAGAGAGTTTGCACTAAACAGCACAAAGAGCATTTTATTCTATGATTATTGTTAATTCAGAAAACTTACTAAAATGCAGTTGAAAGAAATATTATGGTCATGGAAGGATGGACAAAAGGTTGCTGTTACTGTTAACCACTCTCTGAGCAACCCTGCAAAGTTACTGTCTTTGCCAATTTTGGGATGTTTTAACCATAGTTAAGATAACTAGGGTTACAATAACTACAAACTTGATAGCCCAGACCTAATAGGAAACGACAAAGTGTAACAATCAAATTGGAATAGACTTTTTATTTTATATATATATATATGCATGGTTTCTTTCCTTCATGGCTTGCTCATTAAGCATCATAGCAACTTAATAAGGAAAATTATGGTTAACAATTATTGTCTAATCTCTTTACCAAATTCATTTTCCTATGGGCAACCTAATCTGTTTTTAACTTAATAAATATTAATGAGAATGCATTAAGTCAATTTTACCATTCACTAATTATTTTTATAAAATGCTGTGTGTATGTATTTTTTTTTTTTTTTTTACACCATTTCCCTTTTGGCCCTATTGTCCTTAAGGAGTGTTGTAAGGATTGATTTTATCTATATAAACTAATAAAGGTAATCACACAAAAGTTTCAACTTTTTTATTTTAATTCGTGAGACTCCAATGTTTATTTGAATGGAGATAACTTCGCCACCCGCCCCCATATAAAATCAAGAAATAAAAGGTAAAGAAAAAAATGGGAAAAAAAAAAAAGGACGAGAGAGCAGAAAGAAAAAGGAGGGGTGGAGAAAATGCCGGGGCTGTTGGGCGCAAACACAAATACTTTATTCACAACTTAAGAATAGCCCAAAAGAGAGAACGGAACAACAAATACAATTTCTGACTGCGAAACCCTAACTTAGCGACAAGAAAAAAGCATAGCAATAAAGAAAAAAAATGGAATAGGAATTACAACCTAAATAAATATGATTAGTTTAGTTTACCCTTAGTTTGATTTTATTTAGATATTCAATGGTCTTCGCCAGGAAAACTTGAAAGTTTGCATAAATATTATGAATTCATAAAAAAAGAACCCCAGTGGAACCTACCCGGCCCAATTCCCAATTAAATTAAGAAGGAATGAGAGCCAAGGCCCACAAGACATAAATGAACCTCCAAATAATTTCAAATAAAGAAAAAGAAAGAGAGCCACTATTTCGTAAGAACAGGCAAAATAACTGGAGGTTAAACAAGAGAAAAAGGTAAATACAAAAACATATGGCGCCGAACAAATCAAATAATATTCTCTCTCGCCTAAGGTGGGTGGCAGGTGCCCAAGTACTTCGAGGGCCAGAGGATTTTTATCGCACCTAGCATAGACCAACACGACTAGATGAGGCCTAGATTGTGGAGCACAAATATCCTCACCAACTCCTCAAGTATTGCAAAACTGATGAGGGAAGTTATCATGAGAAGTCTCTTTCACGAACCAGCGTTTTCGTGCCGCTTGGCAGAAGGTGATACGTGTCCGCGCTTGTTGGTGTGCTCCCGGTTTTCAATAATTTCTTCTTTAACCTTTAATGCCAAGTTTCCCATTTCTCATACCTCGTTACACCAATACTCAGATTTTTTGGTTTTACTCCCAACAAAGCTTTTTTAAATAGCTCTTAGCCTTCTTTAGCGTCTCTAGGAAAAGAATGGGTTCCAAGGACCTACAATATTTTTAAAGGCGTAGTTATTCCATCCAACTATTTGTTAGTTATATAAAGATATATGTATATAGAATAGGTTTCATGATCAATATGGGAAGTAGAAGGAGACCGTCACCAACCGAGAGAAGTAATATATGAGGGAAGAAATCCCGATAACCTATTGGGGAATGAGACAGTGTCTGAAACCTGTGGAATAATTTAAATCAATATATCCTTTTGGCGCATATGGATGGTGATTCGTATAACGGAGATTAGGAAAAATTAAGAAAGAGGAGGGAAAGTGAGAGTAAAAAGTACCTTTCTATATTTAGGCCTCTGGGGATTACCTAATATACTTTAAACCCATCTGCCTTAAATGCTTTACAGTTGACAATTAGAGAGGAGTTTTGCTATCAAATACCTTTCCCTAAAACAGCACAAAGAGGCGAATTGTTTGATTGTGTGAACTCCCAGATTTATTTATTTGCTTTTAAATTACCTTCCCTAGCGCGAAACAACCACCTTAACTATAAAAATGGCGAAAGCTATTGGAGAATGACCCCAAATTCACCTGATATTAAGGTAGGGGTCATGAAGGATCGACAAAGGTGCTGTGTACCCTTACCCACCTAGCATTAATCGAACATCTCTGGTTAGCTATAACCCTTGCAAAGCTCCCCTTTACTGGTGCTTATAAGCACCAAGTGATAATTTGGGGAATTTGGGAATAAAGTAATATGAGGACCATAGAAATTAATGATAAAGTACACTCACCGTAGGTACAATAACTACAATAACTTGGGTATCCCGGATAAGCAACAATCCCAGACCTAATAGGGAGAAAGGCCTAGGACGACCAACCGGGAGGTAGAATTCGATGGATTACTTATTATCGTACACATAATGGAAAGCAAATAGACAATTGGTTTCTTATTTGCCCTAAATAGCAGTGTGATTAGTGATAACCTATTAAATGGCATAGGGCTTTCTTTTTCCTTCATGGCTTGCTCATTAAGCATCATACAACTTAATTAAGGAGAAATTATGCGTTTAACAATTATTGTCTAATCTTCTTTTACCAAAAATTTCATTTTCCTGATGGGCAACCCTAATCTGGTTTTTAACTTAATAAGATCATTAATTGAGAATGCATAAGTCAATTTTTGACCATTCACTAATATATTTTTATAAAATGCTGGTTGGTGTATGGGAAATATTGTTTTTTTTTTTTTTTTTATTAGCAAACTATCGTTCATGATTTTGATAACGGGTGTACCTTAAAGAATCAAAGGGTAAAATAAGAAAGTGCTTGACACGAAGCTGTGGTCCTGGAGGAGAGCAATACTCTTCCTACCTAAAAATACATCTATATTTTGACTCCAACTAATATAATAGTACATATCTACTCTTACACAATGAATCCCATCGTATATGGTATCATGAAAAATAGTTGTTTTATAATCAACTGAGCAGAATGTTATGAGATATGATTAAACAAATAAATCTCTGAATCTAGACAATATCGGATCTTGTGTCCCATTGGTTATTTTGGTAACGAAAAAACTAGTTTTTTTTGATGCGGCATAATCCTTAATTCAGATTTTTAGAAAAATCCAAAAAATAAATTGATTGAACCCAAGAGTACCAGAAAAAAGTACCGGGTTAAATATTCCAAGTCCAATGCCACACCCAACAAAAAACTAAACTATTGCTTTGATTTTTCTAATAGACTAAAATTTAATTATTCTTTTTATCTAGTTTAGCTTGGTTTTGAAGTCTAAACGGGATGGAATGTTTCCTCCATGCTCTTTTGTTAAGTGAGATTGACCTTTTCCAAGGGTAAGGTTTTCCTCACATTAAGGGCCATCGAGTATAACCCACAACTTAATCCAAATCAATTCATTTCCCAATATTAAATTGGCCGTTTTATATAATAAAATCAAAAGGGTCTAAAAGTATGTTTTGCGTAGTGGTGGTGTTATGGCTGCTGTTGTAATATGTGTGATATAGAAATAGAAAAGGTCTAAAAATTCAAAATTGAAGTGGTGGTTTAACACTTAAAGTTAATTCAAAACAGAAAATTGAACAGGAAGAACTAGGGTCCAATCTTTCTTGGTTTAGTGGGGCAAAAAATTTGTTGGTGGTTTACAGGGACCATCTTTGTGTGTTTTAATTGCTGACATGAATGCTTCCGTCTAATGAGTTCACGTTAATTGCCTAGCTTTGGGGCGAGAGAGCTTTTTCTTCGCATATTCCAGCCACTGTAATCTTCTGTGTGTCCAAGTGATCTTCTCTTGATTGAGAGATGTTTATTGTGCTAATATGTTAATATCTTTTCTCCGATGAAATATCTCTATTGTACCACACGAGAGGTGTGATCGTGTATTGAAGCAAGGGATCAAATTCTGTGGACAGAACTAAAAGAGGTGTTTGCCGGGCAGTGATTTCTGACGCGGCGATGAGCCGGAGTATTTAGGACCTTAGCATAATAGCATTAGATTAAATGGATGGAGAGAGCAGAGTGAGAGGAGAGGAAATACAATTGAAGAGATATAAAGTCAATTAATAAAAGCAGGTTCGAGAGAGAGGTTCTAATATTTTTTTTTTTTTTTTTTTTACACTATTATGATGGTCTATTAAATAAATAAGAAGTCTACACAAGCTGTGTCCTGGAGGAAGTCTCTAAATATATATTTTAGCTAATTAAAAACACATTAAAGGTAGTTTATATGAAAATTGTTACAACTGAGCAGAATGTAGAAAAATCGACCAAATCGGATCGTCCCGATTGGTTATTTTTGGTTAACGAAAAATATTTTTTTTTTGTTTAATTCAGTTTTTTTAGAAAAATCCAAAAAATAAATTGATTGAACCCAAAATTTAAGTCAAGAACAAAAAAACTAAACTATGCTTTGATTTTTCTAATAGAAAAATTTAATTATTCTTTTTGTATTAGTTTAGCTTGGTTTGAACTAAACGGATGGAATGTTTCTCCATCTTGAAAGGAGATATTTCCAAGGTGGTAAAATCGACTTAATCAAATCAATTCATTTCAGTTTTGGTTTTATATAATAAATCAAAATTAAAATATGTTTCTATTTTATGCTGTTTTTAATATTATATAAAATAAAAAATCTAAAAATCAAATTGATTTAACCTGAAATTAATTCAAAACAGAAAATTGAACAGAAACTAGGTTCAATCTTTCTTGTAGAAAAATTTGGTTTACAGGACCATCTTTGTGTGTTTTAAATTCTGACATGAATGCTTCCTCTAATAGTTCACGTAATTGCTACTTTGGGCGAAACTTTCTCGATTCACACTTATCTTCTTTTCCAATATCTTCTCTTGTGAAATTTTATTGTCTAATATGTAATATCTTCTCCGATGAAATATCTTATTGTACCAACGAGAGTTGATCTGTATGAAAAGGATTCAAATTCTTAAAATAAGAGGTGTTTCCGGCATGGATCTGACGCGGCATGAGCAGTATTAGGATTAGCATAATAGATTAGATATATAGAGAGAGAGTGAGAGAGAGGAATACAATTGAAAATATAAAGTCAATTAATAAAAGTTCAGAAATCTAATATGAAGTGCTTAAAATGAGCATTTTTCTAAAAATATGTATATACATAAATAGGTAAGTTTTACAAAGTTAAAATACAATGAAACCAAAATTAAGTTTAGTAAAATGATAAATATAATTTCACCATAATTTACTTAATATTTCTTTGTAAGCACTTGAATTAAAATTTTACATATATTTTTAATACTTAATATTTCTTTGTAAGCACTTGAATTAAAATTTTACATATATTTTTAATACTCCCACTGTTCTCTTTATTTAGAGAAAATTTCTATTTAGAGTGTTTTTTTTTATAGAAAAATTTACGTAAAATGGAAACTTTGAAAATGATGCAATTGTTTAAAGTCTAAAATAGCCTCATTTGATTTGAGTCCTTGTGCTAATTGCGCATGGTTAGCAAGAGAAAGTGGCAAAAAAAAAAAAAGTTAGGCATTTAATGCCCTCGTGTTTCCAAAGTAAAAGTGAACAATTATTTTATCATAGAATTATAAATTATTGATAGTTAACAAATGTGCTCATATTAAAAAGTATATTAGACACATATCTATTTTGCCTACGAGAGTCATTTAAATGTGCTCAATTTATAAATGTGTTTATTTTATTATATTTGTCTATCAGCGTTATGTTTTTATTACAACCATAACACCTTCTTGACCTTCAAGCAAGCAGTTCAAGTTTGGCAGTTGAAAAATAGCAGACACATCTTCAGAATGTGTGTCCGAGTCCATTGGATATCCTTGAAATCAAATAAAAATAATAGATTCATAAAATATGAAAAATTATTGCCCTTATTTGAGGAGCCTTAACTATGACTAAGCATCGAATCGGATTAAGCTGTCCTTGGTAATAACATCCGGATACGGTGGTTTGCACCAAAAAAAAAAATTATTGTCCTTATTTTCAAAAACTCTATGAATGCAATTATATGTTCTAAATCTGTTTGAGATTTATATATAGTCATATCGGAGAAGTTGAGGAGTCTATTGGTTTAACAAAAAATTTGACTCCAAATTTCACTAAATTTGAATGCATATTATTGGAAAATGCTTAGTATTTAATATAAATGAGGAAAAATCGAAATTTCAAATTGTAAAAATCAAATATTGAAAATTTTGAATTCTCAAAATAATTGCAGCATTTTTTTAAATATTCCCTCCATTTCAAACATTAATTGTTGAATAAATGTACCATACTCTCTCTTTGTGAGTTGGCTCCATCAAAATTAAAAAAGCAAATAATATAAATTAGGGATATATTAGGTAAAAAAATGAAAAAAAAATATTTAATTTAACTACCATTTTAATTCCCGTGCATTTTTTGTTTTCCCTAGATAAAGAGAATAGAAAGAGCAATTTTTTTGTTAATTATCGGGAGAAACACATGTTAGTTATCATGGAGAAACTAGGGTTAGCCATAATGTTGGTCCCCATAGTAAGATTGTCTTGCATTTAATTGTTGGTATCATAATATTCCATTTGGCTTTTTGTGGCAGTGATGAAGTTGATAGCCTGTGCACTCAAATGGGTACCAATTGAATGATATACATTGGTTTTGACCAATACTAATTCAAGTGTTGAATTAATTATTTCAGCTCCAAATATGTGAAATAAATAAATAAATAAATAAATAAAAGAAGAAGGATCAAAAGAAAGATTGGGTGAAGAAAAAATCTGATGTGGGGCAGCAAAGAGCTATTTGAGAAATAAATAAAATGAATTAAAATCAGCACTAAAAACAAAGAATAAGGAGAACATGGCAATTGCCTCAAATAGAAACTGTCACAGAGGTGGTTTCACGTCCCCTTCACTACATTAGCTTTTGATTCACTCATTCACATGGCCTTTTTGCACCCATCTAAAATACACCCTACCATTTCCCACCTCCACCTAATTATCTTCCCAAATTCAAATAAACTCTAACGTAATAAAGACAACCCGTCATCAATAAAAGTAAAAGTAATGCAAGCTTCCTTAGTTAAATCAAGCCACAACCTAACTTTTATATATGTTGGAAAACTCGCACAATTAGAAATGTATTATCAATCAATCTACAGAAATCTTCATCATAAATAACATAACTCAATTCAACGCTGTAAATTATTTTGCCCTTAAACTGCCTCACAAGCAACAATGCAAATAAATGCTCTTCAACCTACCACCTCTCTTCCATACCATATGCCGATCTAACCATTTATCAGGTAGCCATATCAACTTAACTATGCATTTAGTTTAGCCTAAAGGTACATGCATATCCAATCGTGCAAATATCCAATTTCAAATCACCCTCCCAAATAAAATAAATAAATAAATAAATAAATAAAACCCTGGAATCCAAAGAAATGCATTAATTCTTATTCCATGTCAATCTAAGGTGAGCTTTACGTCCATCGATAAACGGTACTTGTACCATATAAATCAGGTTAACTAGTATAATAAACAAGTGGTTCAGTTCAAACATTGTTTAACTGTACCATCTGTAACTATAACTTTAAATAAAATGTAATCATATAAGCCATGCGGACAGCCCTCCCTTCAAAACATCCAGGAACTTGCACAATTCTAATCAGCCAATGACGTCAATGACCAACACTGCAACACTTCCCTAACATGAATGGTGCGGCCTAAATTCTTCAGTACCAGAGCCCCCAAGGAAAAATAAAGGCTCCAAGAGACTAGCAGCAAGAGTTTGTCTGTTCAACATATAATAAAATAATACGAACACACAAATCAAAAAATTGACTGTCAAATGTCCACCAGCAGAGTGGCTTCACTCTATACATTCTAACATCAGGGAAACAGTACACACAATGATCACATGTATGGTTGAATTATTCTCCAGGTTACACCACTGATAAAAAATTAATATGTACCATGATATCATTACTTTACAGGAGCAAAATAAACAAATAAATAATGCCACCTAAGCCAGGTATTCTTATCGTCATGTTACCTTTATAACAAAGAACATAATAATAATACACATTCCGATTCCAAACCGCTATCATTTCTTTGCATATGCACTGCCAAATTCTTTGCTGCCTTTGAGAAGAGGAGAAAAGAAGAAAATACCTTATATCAAGTCCAGTGTTATGGCAATGGAACTAAGAGCCCCACTTTGGTCAAGGTAATAAACATATCGCATCATTATTTCAATCAGTTTTTTAAGTACAAGCAGAAGATCCAAAACTGGTAGGCAAAAAATTACATGTTATAAGCCAGATAAGCTCATAAACTTGCAAAACACCCTTGACAACAGAACAAAGGGATCACTCTGTAGCAATAAACTTCAAGGAATTGCTGCCCACTATCTAGTCTGTAAACGCGACAGCATTTACTCATCAATCTGCACCTCAAAATAAGATGAGCCTCAGAAATTGTAGATCAGTAAGATTATATGATCCCTTCTGATTAAAGGGGAAAGGTATGCTGGTAGAGCAATTTATCTATCAATATAATTGTGCCATGACATCCACTCAAATCTGTCTAATCATTGCCACAAAAAGAATGATTCTCTTCCAGAAGTTAGAGAATGAACTGGATATGCAATGATCAATACAAGATCATGAAATCTAAACTACAATATTAAAACATGAAGCCACTGTATTCATTAAATTCAATTAAAAATGTAGATCCATTAATGATTTTTTTTCACGCCATAGAAACAAGCGCCAAAAAGCATTGTTAAGAAGTGGCAGCTGGTTGTTGTAGCATTGTCCATTTTTTATTTTAGCAGAAACCTTTTGTCGGCTTTGTGGTACATGCATGAGAAGGCTCAAGAAATTAAATAGAGTAATTCCTTCAGTAGAGAGAAAAATAAAAAGGTGAAGAGAACCGAGTTCCTGTAAGGGACTCCACTTACTGTTGGCAAGAGTGAAAATAAAGTGTTCCAATTTTCCCAAAGCTAGAGAGTCCATCTATAACCCCATGATTTATTCGTGGAATACTTTTTAGAATGACATCTGGTTTTCCCTTAACAAAGTTTTTCTATGTAAATTTGTATGTCCCTTTGTAGATTTGTATTTCTCCTCATTTTATCTTTTATCTATTTGAATTTCTTTAATTTATACACCATTTATAACTTTATCACTTTCAGGAACTGACCATGAAGAAGAAACTAACTTCAAGAGATGAGCTGATAACTAAGAGGTATAGAACAATATTCAGAGATCTGATGACTAAGAATTACAGAACAATATTCAGAATCATTGATACAGTTGACAAAGTAAGTTCTAAGATATACCTGATTAAGAGGGTTGTCAGGAGATTTCTTCCATAACTTCCATATCATGTCCTTGTATTGGTTGTGAGTAAGGCCTGGTTTTTCTTCCCTGAGTCTAGGAAGCTCAGCTTCTTCAAAAGCCTAAACATTTAAACAGTTCATGCACAATCAACGGAAGAAGAAAAAACATGTAAAATGCATATCCTTGCACATAATTTGTAATGCTTATAAATCTTATTTCTGTCTTTCCAAAAAGTCTCTCCTACTTCTGAATGGAGCATTCATAATCTACTGCAAAGTACTTAAATTTTCACATATACATCCTTGAAAAAGGGATCATTGTGTCACCTTGAAATGAAATTGAATGAGAATTCCAGAATTATATTCCATTCTATAATCCAGTGTACAAATTCAAAAAAATCTTGAAGAATATTTTTGCATATGGCTTGATATTCAATTTTCATCATGCTTTTCTCAAATCATTGAATCTTCCAACGAAATTCAAATAATAATAAGAAAATGAGGCTTCCTAGCCATTTCCTTCTCATTCTCATTTAAATTCCAAGATATCACAAACAAGCTGAGATTAATTTTGCATCCAGCTACTAAAAAATATGCAACCATGTTTCCCAAAATTAAACTAAATCAGGCAAAACTAACCTTCTGTTAACTTAAAAGCTAATAAATTGGTCCCATTGCAGTTATCCTAATACCATAAATTTTAAAAAATTATGTTCCAAACTCTCAAAATTTTCCACATAGTGTAGGATAAGAATGTAATAATAAAAGCCAAGAAAACGAGAATTAAACCAAAATTCTATCAAGCAACTTTAAATGGCGTGCAACCAAACGTGCCTTAAACGAGGCCTTGAGCCTCCTCTCAGGATGCTTATCAACTGGCAAGCTGTCAGTGACTGTCATCTGCGCAATTGCATCCTCCACATTTCTCGCCTCAATAATTGAATCATCGCGGTTCGTATTTGTGACCAGCACCATTTTCTCATAGTCCTCCTCCGCCGCAGTTCTGCTTTGTCTCCGCTTCATCTCCTCCGCTTTCTTAGCCAGCTCCGCCTGCTCCTCCTCTCGCCGCTTCCTTAGCTCCGCCTCTGTCACCTTCGGAACTGGAACAGCCACACGATTCGCCTTCTTATCAGGTTTCGCCATCGATTTGTCGATCTCCTTCTCTTCCATCTCGGCTAAACGGCGAGCCTCAGCGCGTCGAGCCGCAGCTTCGGCTCGTTTCTCAGCTTCTTCCTCCCGTTTCTTGGCAGCGCGGGATTTGGTGCCCTCGGCTTCACGCCAGTACTGTTCTTCCTTCTCCCGAGCCTCGCGCTCCTTGCGCTCGGACTCCGTGGCGGACTTGCGAGCCCGAGCGGCCTCGGCCTTGCTGTTGACGCCCATCTTCTTAGGCATGTTTGATTGAATTAAAGAATGGGGGAAATTAGGGATTTGATTAAGGGTTTTTGAGATAGGAACTTCAGGTAAGGGAAGTTGTGTTTTTGTGAGTTTCGTGTCGCTTCAGGAAATTGGAAATGGGAAATTGCATAAGAAAAAGGCGGTTATGGTGGTAATAAGAGATCCCAGTCGCTGTGGCCTGTAGGCGTTTCTAGATTTTGGTTTGTTTCTTTTGGCAAACGTCTGGGCTTTGGCGTTTATTTAATTGCGTCTGGAATTTTTATCCTTCTCTTGGTTTTTCTTTCTACGCTTTTTTCGCCTTTTTATGATTCAAGGTAATAGTTTCTTTATATTAGTTTGTAGACTTTAATTTTTATACATTGCATATATTTAATTTATATATGTAACTTTTTATTTATTTTTTATGAATTATAATATTATAAATATATCATATTACTATAAAATTTAAAAGTATTTCTAAAATAAAATATATATAATTTTATGAAATAATAAAAATCAAAAAATTTTATTATTAAATAACTTATTGAGAAAATAACATAATATAAACCAACTAAAACTAAATTATCTTTATTTTTTCAATTAATAAAATTAAAATTCTTAAAATATTATATTTTTATAATAATTAATATGTATCTTATTTAGTATATAATATAATTTGAAATCTCTTGTTTATTATTTATTTATAACGGAATCCGTAAATATATGAGTTCTTTCTTAATTTTTTCAAGAGCATTTAGATTTAAATAGCAAATAAATATAAACAATCACCAATAAATTAGCTTTAATTTTGGAAAAATATTATATTTTTACCATATTTAATATATACCTTATATAGTATATAATATTATTTCAATAAAATATATAATACATAATATAATTTCTTATTTTATCCAATAGAATTTAGATTTAAATAGAAAATTAATATGATCAATCAAAAATTAAATTATTTTTATTTTTCAACCAATAAAATTAAATTATCTAGTGATATTTTTGTCAATCCATAAACTTAATAGGAGTGAATTTTATAATTTTAATGTTCTCCACCAATTTTCACTTTTATAATCCATCTATTCCAAAATGATTGTCACTTTTTTTTCTACGAATTTTAAGAAAAGGCAATTAATATAATGATAATTTATGTGTTTCTCTTTTCTACATGAAATTAAATAGGGATAATTATATTTGTGGTATCTGACCTTTCACTTTTTTTCTATTTTGGTGTCTTCTTGGAAAACGGTAACGATTGAGTGCTTGAATTTATAAAGTTTTACAATTAGGTGTCTCCGGATGATGTGGCAAACTAGAAAAATAATTGTGCTCATGCGGTACCCATTTTTAATGATGTGGCAACTGACTTGGCAACAAAATGCTAAATTTTTTGCCATGTAACGCGTAGCTGACATGAAATTGGCTTGAAATTTCCATTATAACATCCATTAATTACGTTCTAACAGTCTCATTCCCTTCTAAGAACCATCCGTGAAATCTCTAAAAAATGAATTCATCTCTAACTTTGCCTTGCAAAATGTTGCGACATGAGAGAAAAGAATCCATTATCAATTGAATTTTTTTTTTTTTTTTTTGCAACCATTATCTCTTGTAAAACAAGCTTTCTTTATATGTTTATGGTATAAAAACAGAGATATAAATGTTCTTCAAGTTCATCCAGTTGCTCCTGATAGCAAGAATCATGCATATAGAACTCTTCAACTACCTTCTTCAATAGTTCTGTACTTTTACTCCTAACACACATATCAACAAGTGCCTTTTTATGTTCTATTTTTATGTTCTACTCATCATGTAAACTCATCACTATCCTACTTATCATATCAAAATTATTAATCAATATATAAGTTCCTTTGGCTGCAAGATCAAGCTGTGCAGAGAGTTTTTCGAGCAAGCTTCTTTTAAGCCCGCCATTAATTAACTTGATTTTCTTCCAAAAAAAAAGAGCAACCCATAAGTCCTAGTGCTGCCACAATTCCAACAATCCCATGTAGTGCTATTACTAGCAACGCAATTACAAGTGTAGTATGCGAAATCAAAAGACAATATCCTCCAACTTTCTTGTAAATTCTGTTAACTTTTACTTTTCTTTTAATCTTTCTCTGCTCTGAAGTCAATTTATGAAGCAACCCCATGTTGTTATCATGAACATCCTGAAATTCTAATTGACTAACAAACGATAAAGAATTTCTAAGCAATGTGAAGCAGTTGTTCTCTAAATATAACTTCATTTATTTTATCTGTATAATCTTCAAAATCTTGCATTTTGTTGCTTAATTTAATTACCCTTTCAATTCTCCAATAATTAAATCGAGTTTGATGAATGCTTCGAAGCAGCAAATAGCAAAGGTTACATGCTTCTAAACTAGCTTCAAAATAATCTATTAAAGAGAGGTGTAACTTAAACCTTCGTATTAGATCGACTAATGTCTATTGTTTCTCTGGTCAAAAAGATATCCAAAAAGATGAACATAAAAAGGAAGAGATGAGGAAAGGGAAAGTCCATTAATTCCATCAACATTTATTCTTTTTAGCTGGCCTTTAATTTTGCTCCACATTTCTACGTAAGAAGAAAGAAGATTTGTGACCTTTGGTTAGACTTAGTGTTAGAAGAAAGTGAAGAGAAGTGGGTAGGTGGGATGCAATTAATGGAGGGTAAAAAGGGAATTTCAAGGTCAATTTCACATCAACTACACGTTACATGGTAAAAATTGCAGCAACTTCTCGCCAAGTCAGCTGCCATGTCATTAAAAATGGGTCCTGCACGAACATAATCATTTTTTTGGTTTGCCACATCATCCAAAGACAACTAATTGTAAAATTTTATGAATTCGGACACTCAATTGTTCCCATTTTTCGTTGAGACACTAAAAGTGAATTTATTGAAGGGTACATAGGAAAAAAAAGCTTTAAATGCATGCTATAAATAAAAATGGATAATTATTTTGGAATGTCCCAAAATGGAAGAGTGGACAATTTTTATAAGACAGAGGAAGTATATATTATAGAATTATAAGTTATATGTATTATAAAAGACTAGTTTTATCGAACGTGCATTTTATGTTGTTTGAACTCGTTAAATTTTTTTTTATTATTATAAATTGTAATATTATGAACAATTTTTTGTTAAGTTTAAAACTGTATAAAATAGCTCAACCTGATGGTGATGATGGTTTTGCACTTCCTTAGTCTCATGCTATTGTCTTCCATGAGTTGTATATATATCATTCATGACTTATTTTCATCCACAGTTCCTCAACTATAGGGACCATCACAATAGAATACTTAGTCTTCAATTTGTCTCTTAAAAATTCCCTAACTACTATTTGGATAATAAAAAGTACTATTAGTTAGCTTCTAGGTAAATGTCTAGTTATATACTAATGTGAATATCATTTAATTGCCACATCAAATTAATGAGTCAAATTCTTTCTCCTTTCTTCTCTCTCTCTCTCTCTCATCTATTATCTCTCTCTAAGGTTTTGTTTTTCTCTCTTGCCCCTCTTTTGTGGAGATCCCTAAAAGCATAGAAGAAGCTCCTTTTTTTCTTTTTATTTTTTTTTTTTAATTTCGATTTCATTCCTCCTTCTAAAACTCTAAGTAGACAACTTGAACTTTCCTTCAAAATTGAGTAATCACATGTCTTCAACAACTTCTTCAACTTGGCATCTGAACTTGATGCAGCTGACTTATTGTAACGCCTCATTTTTTCTGTGTCTGAAATAGTAAGTTGCCGGTCTGTGAATAGTATCATCGGTCCGAGAATAAATATTATTTTTGTCCGGAAAAATTACTATGTATGTTTAATATTTTCTTTAATATTGTTGGAAGGAGGAACTAAATAACATCATTATAGAATTATAGATCGAATTACACTCTATATTATAGGTTAGACTAGTCTATTATCGAACGTTGGACATCTTTTAATATTGTGGTGGTTTGAAATCCTACGGCTTATTAAAGATTTTTATTTATTCTCAGTTATTTATACATAGTCTCTTGCTAATACTGTATGAAACAAATTCTATTGTTAGTTGGTTAGACACAAACTCGTTATAGTAAATGTAGCTTCTAAGCGCTGGTATAGTGTGAATGAAGAGAGCTAGCGTATTTGACACTGACGCTTAGTCTCTCCAAATGCTATAGTCTTTCGCCAGCATTGAGCTTTGTGATAGAACTAACATCGCGAAATGTCATTAGTGAAGAAACGTTAATCTTTCCATACCCACAGTTTCCGTATCAACATGAGTATACGGGACCATCACAATAGAATACCTTAGTCTTCTGTTCAATTTGTCTCTAAAAAAATTCCCTAACTACTATTTGGATAATAAAGAGTACTATTAGTTTAGCTTCTAGGTAAATGTTGTCGTAGTTTATATCTAATGTGAAATATCATTTATTGGCCACATCAAATTAATGAGCTCCAATTCTTTCCTCCTTCTTCTTCTCTCGTCTCTCGAATCGGTCTCGAGTGAACAGTATATTCTAGGAGGTTGTCTGCTCTAATGGTTTTATTGTTTTTCTCCATCTTGTAACCCACACTAATTGTGGAGATTGCGACGCTAAAAAAGCTATTACGAAGAAGGCGGTCGCTTTGTTCCTTTCTATTTGTCATGTTGAAATTTGTGAGATTTGTTCTTTTTTTTACATTTCGATTTCATTCCTCCTTCCTAACAACACATAAGTTGTGCTCGGCAGAACCTATTGATGAATAAGGCCTTAAGTTTTCTTGTTATTCTTTATTGGTTTATGCTCTTAAGATGATGTTTGAAGAGTATTTAGTTTGTAGTAGAAATCTCTACCTTGTATATGATTTAAGTAAGCTGAAATTGGGAAAAAGTGTTATTAGGTGGCATTATATGATCATGCAGTTTGTCACACAAATGTCAATACAACAGCAATCACAATTATTATCATCTTCATATAATCACATCACGTGGAAATTATTCAGTGGCGTCATCAAAACCTTCGACGAGCTGTACTCTCACATAGTCCATTCTCTCAAATGTGTGCACCTGTAACGCCCCATTTTTCTGTGTCTGAAATAGTAGTTTACCGGTGTGTGAATAGTACCACCAGTCCAGTAAGTCGGTATTATTTTGGTCCGAAAAAATTACTATGTATCTATCTAACATGAACTTCTTTCTTCTTCTCCTCCATTTTAACTTTAGCCTCTCTTTCTCTTCTCTTTGTTTTCTTCACTTATACTCACAAAATCCACCAATTTGACACCATTCAACTTG